GCTTCTCAAAATATTTCTCAAGATGTTTCTCCAAAACGTAAAAATAAAGTACCTCCTAAATTAAAATTAGTATCTGATTTAGAATTAGAACTTCCTCCAGAATTAGATTAATTATTTTTTATATTTTGTATTTTTTTTTATATTGTATTGAATTAACGTATTTTTTTTGTTATAAAAATATATATTTTTATTTATAAAATATTTATATGAATAAAATAAACAATATAAAAAATAAAATAAAATTATATAAATAAAATTTACTGATTATCTAGATAATTGCTGCAACCTTCTTATTTGTTCTTTGATGTCGACTGTTTCATGATTATTTTTTTCCATCTCTTTGACTATCTCACGTAATAATGTAGGTGGAAGATCTTTAACTACATTAAAGATTTCTTTTACATTATCATTTATTTCCTTAATCTTATTTTCATTGTCACCAATTTTATTCTTTAATTCTTTATTATCTCCTTTGAGTTTTTCTTTTTCTTTTTTAATAGTTATCATGATTGTTCTTCTTACAGATTTTACAGTAAGTTATTTCATTCCAATTCCAACTTTTAAAACTACATATGCATTGTTTAACGTATTTTTTACACCAAAAACAATCCAAGTTCCATTCTTTTTCTTCTTTTGGTTCCGGTCCCCAACTAAAACACGATGGACAATCATCTTTATCGCAATTACCTAAAAAAAAATACTTAAATATTTTTTTATTGATAAACATAACAAAAAAAAAAAGTTACTCACAAATCATTTTGATTTTAACTTTTGAACTTTATTTCTTATCTAAACTTGTATTTTTTATATAAAAAATTTATCGATAAAAAAATTACATAATCTTTACATCATTACTTACATAATAAAGATAAAATCTAAAATAAGAACAATCATAAAATTTTTATTATTTTGAATTAAGCTATATCAAGAATAATTAATATTTTAATTATACTTAAATTGTATTGATTACAAAAAATCTCGTAAAAATAAATAGAATATTTTTTTTGTATTTTTTTTTTTTAGTTAAAAAAAATTTTTTTTTTTCTTCGTAATGTCAGAAAAAAAACTTTATGATAACTGGCAAAAAGCTAAAAAAAATACTATCGTAGCTTTAAAAAATTGGGAAGAGGAAAAAATTAAACTATCAAAATCTAAGAATAAACCTGATTGGCTTATTAAATCAGTAAAATCTTTTTCTTTAATCTATTATTATAAGAAAAATAAAGAACAAGATGTAGAAATACTTTATCTTAGATGTAAAAACGCTTCTCAAAATATTTCTCAAGATGTTTCTCCAAAACGTAAAAATAAAGTACCTCCTAAATTAAAATTAGTATCTGA